CAGTGGTATATGGTTTGTCTCAACCCTCAAACTGCTAAACTTGCAGGACAGCTCTTTCTTTTGAAAAACAATGAACTTACTGGCAGGATCACTAGATGAGATACAAGAAAGCCAAAAAAAATAATGCAGCCACCACATATAAGAATTTGTAAGCTGCAATATAACAAATGTTTGCTCTTGGGTTTAACACCATTTTAAGAATGGCAAATTAGAGGCACTTATTGAGGACTATTTCTACATCAGCTACACCAGTGTTTCTCAACATTTTTTTAGTCAAGGCACCCTTTAAACTTATGGATAATTCTAAAATGAGGTTCCTCAAGACTGTCCATAATTTTAAAAGGGCACCCCATTCTAAAATGTGCAAAACTATTCTAATAGCTTTATTTAACGCAACAACATCCACATGTAGGACAGCCAACATTAGATGTGACTTATTCTTCCAAAGCAAATACAGTTTTGCACCCTGGTACTGTGTAGTATTCCAGTGTTTCACTTATCCCTCACTGAGCTGGAGAGGGGCACTGATGGAGAGGGGCACTGATGGAGAGGGATAGCGGGAGGGTCAAACTAGGATGCTGTGCAGGCAGCTGACATCCTCCTTATCAACTGATGATGTCATTGGTTGTCAGGACGCTGTCAGCTAGAAGGTTGTAATGGTGCACAAAGAAAACCTGTGACTTTGTGTAACTAAAAGGCAGGCTTGTTCCACTCGCTGGCTTGTATAAAAGTTTAGGGCAATTTTAGGACATTTTGCCAAGGCACCCCTGAAGAAACTTCAAGGCACACCAGGGTGCCTGGGCACCCTGGTTGAGAAAGGCTGATCTACACCTCCAAACCCCCCTTCCCATACCAAAACAACAGTGCAGCATTCCCATTTAAATAAATTAGTCTGAATCAGAGCCATAACTTCTTCAAGGTTTAAAGTGGAAGTAAAGTCCACTTTGTAAGTTGTACCTACAGGTAAGCCTATAATAAGGCTTACCTGTAGGTACAATGATTATCTCCTAAACGTGCCCCGTTTAAGAGAGATTCACACAGTATGCTGCCAGTGATGCCACCAGTGCATACACTCCAAAGGGATGACAAAGAGTCTCGGACGTTCAGAGCTCTGCACAGCAGCCAAGGGCTTCCGCGCACATGTGCGGGAGTGACTTTACCATGATTCTGGCCATTCATACTGCCAGAGTCCACAAACCCAGAAGGAAGACTGGGTGAAGATGGCAGCGCTGGGGAGCTGTGGCAGCCGGCTATTTTCTCCCATTTCTCTGAGGATTGCAGTGATCTATCAGCCTCCTGGACCAGTGTTGCGCTTTCTTTATGATTTCTCTGCCTGCCTACCCTACTTTCTCTCCTCTGAACTACCCACTATCATTCTCGAAGATTTTACCATCCCCATTAATGTCAACAACCCGGCTACATCCCAACTCTTCAACCTAACTTCATCTTTTGCATTAGGACAATGTATACAGTCCTCCACTCACTCTGATGGGAATACATTAGACCTTGTTTTCTCCCGTCTTTGCACTCCCTACAACCTCACAAACACCCCCTTTCCTCTCTCTGATCACAATCTCATCACCTTCACAGTGTCCTCGCCTTCAAACACTTATCCCTCCAAGCAGCAAACAATTACCCGCAGAAACCTTCACAACTTGAACCCTGCTCCTTTCCACTCTGTAACTGACCAACTCTATGACAGAATCTCTCCCCTGTCCTGCCCTGACCTGGCCACTGCTGTCTACAACAGTTTGCTTTCATCCACACTAGACTCACTTGCTCCTCTAACTAAACGAATTATCAGGACCCGACCATTACAACCTTGACAGACTGATGATACCAGAAATCTTAAACGACATAGTCGTGCGCTGGAGCGATTGTGGCGTAAAACCATATCTCACCAAGCATTCATCTTATATAAATCTGCTTTCTTGACATACAATTCCTCCCTCCATGGTGCCAAACAAGTCTACTTTGTCAATCTCATCAACAGCTTGTCATCCAGTCCTCATTGTCTCTTCTCTACTTTTAACTCTCTACTTTATCCATCTCCACCCAGTACCTCACTCACTGCTCACGAGATTGCAAATAATTTCAAAAACAAGATTGATGCAATTCGTAGAGGCATTGCCACTGCACAGACATCCATCCCACTTAGCATACCTTATACTAAACCTCCCTCTAACACTTTCCTCTTTTGACCTTGCTACTACCGCAGAGGTCACTAAGGTTTTCTCAGAAGCCCGTCTCACTACCTGCCCCTTGGATCCTGTCTCCTCACAACTACTACGGTCACCCTCTTCTTCCATCCTATGCTCCCTCACTCACATCTTCAATCTCTCCCTCTCTAACATTACCTTCCCCTCCCCTCTAAAGCATGTGCACATCACTGCTATACTTAAAAAGCCCTCCCTGGACCCCACCAACATGAACAACTTAAGACCCATCTCCCTGCTGCCATTTACCTCTAAACTACTAGAACGCTTAGTCTACAATCGCCTGAGCTCCTACCTCACTGACAACAACCTTCTTGACCCTTTACAGTCAGGCTTTTGCTCTCTACACTCCACTGAAACTGCCCTACTAAAACTCACTAATGATCTACTAACTGCTAAAACCAATAGGCACTACTCCGTACTCTTACTACTTGACCTCTTGGCGGCTTTTGATATGGTTGACCATCCCCTCCTCCTCAAAAAACTCCACTCTCTTGGCCTCCGAGACTCTGCTCTCTTTTGGTTCTCCTACCTATTGCAGCCCTCCTTCAGCGTTACCTATAACTCTGCCTCCTCCTCTCCACTTCCTCTTTCTGTAGGGGTCCCTCAAGGTTCTGTCCTTGGACCCCTTCTCTTCTCCATCTACACTTCCTCCCTTGGTCACTTGATAAACTCCCATGGCTTTAAGTACCATCTCTATGCTGATGACACACAAATCTATCTTTCTACCCCTCACCTCACCCCTTCAGTCTCCTCCCGCATTACTAACCTACTAAGCGACATATCGGCATGGATGTCACTCCACTTCCTCAAACTCAATCTTTCCAAAACTGAGCTCTTAGTATTCCCCCCAGCCTGTGCCCCCTCCCCTGACTTCTCCATCAAGATCAATAACACAATCATCATTCCCTCCCCTCATGCCAGGGTGGTAGGTGTTATCCTAGACTCCCATCTGTCCTTTCAATCCCAAATCCAATCGCTGTCCAAATCTTGTAGACTTCACCTCCGTAACGTCTCTAAGATACGGCCGTTCTTAACCTCGGAAACCACTAAGCAACTTATTCACTCCCTTGTTATATCTCGCCTTGACTATTGTAACTCCCTCCTCATTGGCCTACCTCATCGCAGGCTATCCCCTCTTCAGTCTATCATGAATGCTGCTGCCAGACCTATCCACCTTACTAACCGTTCTGTATCTGCAACCCCTCTCTGCCATTCACTCCACTGGCTTCCCGTTGTCCAACGGATAAAATTCAAAACATTAACAATAATATATGAAGCCATTTATACCTCTGTCCCAAATTACATCACCGATCTTGTCTCCAAATATCACCCAAACCGTACTCTCTGCTCCTTGCACGACCTCCTGCTCTCTAGCTCCCTTGTCTCCTCCTCCAATGCTCATCTACAGGACTTCTCCAGAGCTTCCCCCATCCTCTGGAACTCTCTACCCCAATTTATCAGACTATTGCCTACTCTGCTCACTTTTAGGTAATCTCTGAAAACCTCGTCAGGGAAGCTTATCCTGCCCTCAACTAATAATGGAATCTTCTACACTTCTTACCAGTCCACCCCCCACACCTTTACTACCATTTGTACCACTAGCCCCTCCATCCTAGATTGTAAGCTCCGAGGAGCCCTCTTGTATTGAACTGTATTGTTGCTGTATTGTCTCCCGTTATATTGTAAAGCGCTGAGCAAACTGTTGGCACTATATAAATCCTGTGTAATAATAATAATAAATGTACTAATATGCAGTGCATACTAGTATATTATGACTTAAACCCGTAGGGGACCCATTTATTTGTTTTGTTTTTTTGGGCAGTTTATTACCACTTTAATCCTAAAACCAAAAAATGTAATATATTGCAGCTTACCAATCATTAGATGTGGCGGCTGCTTTTTTTTTTTTCTTTGGCGTTTCCCCTCACCTGGTGATCTGACCAGTAACACACCTCCTGTGTTATTGTGACACAACTCTGGATGAATGAGCTCAGAGAGAGTAGCAGACAGCCGCATTGTCAGTCTGAATGGGAGGGGAGTGTTAAATATATTAGTAGATCTAAATACACTCACACTTTATAATCAGTTACAGCAAACAGTTTTTTTTTCCTTTTGTGATAAAGGTTTTACATGAATAAATGAAAGCTTATTATTTAATCACCCCTGCCAGTGTTAAGTGGTTTGTCTCATCAATGTAAACTAATACAATCTGCTGGAGAGCTTGTAAAAAAAAAGAGTGTTAAAAAACAATAGACTGGTTGGATCACTAGATGCAAATAGCAGAAAGAAAGCCTAAAAAGGAAACAAATGCAGCAATCACATCTAATAATTGGTAAGCTGCAACATAATAAATGTTTGCTTTTGGGTTTAATACCACTTTTATGTCTGGGCAAAAAAAACAGAATTCACTACATTTCTGCAATACTTGCACATCCTGTGTGAGCTGACAACTCTGACTCTGCTGCACTGCAATCCCATGCATTGTTGCAAGCCCTGCCTGAGTTTTCTCCTATTGGACTACAAAACAAATCCCCCTCCTTATCTCGATAACCCCCTCCCTTTTTCACTTTATCAGCACTCCCTGCCCTGTACTAAGAATTATGGAGAATGTAATGAAAAGGTTTGGGGGATGTCATATAGTTATGCTGTCCAGCAGGGAATACAATAGGCAAGGCTGACAACACTACTACGTTCAGCAGAGGCAGCACTGTCAACTTGCTACAGAACTTGTTAGATACATCTACATAAGTATATTTATATATATTAAACGATGACACCAACCTTCCAGACACAAGCATAGAAAGTTTATCAATGGGAGTTTTGCCTTGAACTGCATAACAATGCTCCCTTTCCAACGTGACCACCTCTGCATTACAGTATGAAATGATCTTCCGGAATACAGTTAGTGAGATCCCCAGGGGTTGAAAGACTGCACTGTACACATCTTGGAATTCTTTGTCAAAGGTGACACTTCTCAGCTGGTAGGCAAGATGAATGATCTGCGCAATACAGATCATAAGAAGAATGAAGTTCCAGGAGAAGACATCTGCAGCACAGACATCCAGCCAGGCCCATATACAGGTACAGAGAAAACTCAAAGCAAAGAAGGCATAAACATATAGAAGCCCAAAGAAACCACTTCCGCCCATACAGCCCAACACAAATAGAACACTGGCCAGGTGGTAAATAGATCCCTCAGCCTCTTGCTTCCATTCAGGACACACAGGATGTCCGGTCACAAGGCTTTCCCAAAAACTCACATTTTCGCCCATGGCTGCCTTGGTCAAGATGGCTTCAACATTAGATAGCCTTGTTTCTTTCCTTCAGGTCAACCAAACAGGATGTCCTCCACCCATTTTTTCTACGTTGCGGAATGCTGCTATTTCATATTCAATCCATTATTAAGTTGGTAGCTTGATGTGTTTTTTCTGTTCATTTCTCCAGGTTGTGTGACCATCAGTGAAGGAACAAATTTGGCCATAGCGTAGTTGTCTGTGGTACCATTCTCACGCCAAACAGTACTTGCACTGACACAAATTCATAATATATCAGTATGAAGAGCACTGCCTTAAAAAAAAAAAGAAACAGGAAAAAGTTAAAAGCTGTTTCAAAATTTAGCTAAATAAACAAATGAGTTATCTCTGCAAGCAAATATTTTTCTTTAAGCAAATATTTTTTAAAACCGAGTAAGCAAGTAATACTTATGAATATTGTATCATGGTGCCAAATAATCCATGCTGTTCTAAGACAGATATCTATCCATCTATGGGCAGCCTTAGGGACCTGTCAGACGAGTAATTTTGTTGCAGCTACAGATTTTCTTTCTAACGCATTTTTTGCTGTGATTCCAGTGATTTGTAGCTCTGTCACTGAACCATTAACGTTTTTGCAATATTCATAGCCAGCTACAAAATCTCTGGTTTAGTATCCAATAATATTATCCACTGCAACTGGTGCTGAATAACCACCTGACCTCCAGGCCTTTTTCTGACACATTTGTTTATATGTAAAAATCTGTATTTTTTGCTAGAAAATTAATTAGAATGTTATAATTTTTTTTAAAGCAGAGGCCCTAGAAAATAAAATGCTGGGTTTTGCAAATTTTTATGTCATGCAGTTTTTCAAACACAAGTTGTCACGCTTTAAAATTGCACACGCCCATGCAATGGTGACAAATGATGTAAATTGTACAATAGATAGATGACCCTTTAAAAGCCATTACAGGTTACCACTTTAGATTTACACAGGAGCTAGAGTGCTAGAATTACTGCCCATGATCTGACGTTCACGGTGATACCTCACATGTTTGGGATGATCGCTGTTTGCGTGCATACAGGACTGAGGTGCAGGGTCGCATTTGTACACGACCACGGGGTCATCTTTATGGAGGGATCTGGGATCTAAAAGACACAAAATCCCTCCTCTGCCCTTAAAAGTATTAAAAACTTTGAAGATTAGTGATCAATTCTTTAAAAAATTGGTGCCACTGACTTCCATGTACACTGGAAGTGATGCCAAGTTATCCCTTCCGGGTTACTATAGCAGAGCCAACCACCGGCTCTAAAAAACGGCAGAAGGGTAATGCCTGCAGCTGCAGGCATCATCCCGGTATAACTGCTTGAAGTTCAGTGACGTACGGGTATGTCGCTGGTCCGCAAATGGTTAAAGTGATTGTAAATGGAGAGGGTTATTTTTACCTTAATGCATTCTCTGCATTAAAATAAAAAAACCTTCTGAGTTCAGCTCCCCCACAGTCCCCCTAAATACTTACCTAAGCCCAAACTCGATTCAGCATTGGACATGTCAATCACAGCCTGTAAGGAAAGAGCGAAAGGGTGGGGCCGAGCAGTGCTGTGTGTGTCAATGGACACACAGAGGCCGACTCAGGATCTAGCCTGCATGAGTGAAGGGAGGAGGAGCCAAGAGTGCCGGCGGGGGAGCCGAGAAGAGGAAGATAGGGGCTGTGCTGTGCAAAAAAAAAAATTGCACAAAGCAGGTCAGTAAACCGGTGTGACATAACCCTTAGCATGAAAAAAAATCCATAAGTTAAAAATAATGCATTTAAATGTTTGAAAAGGTAAGCTAAAACCTCAGAGGAACATGTGGAAATACATGTACCAATACATACATTTTACACACACACGTCTAATGTGCCATTACATGTATTCTACAGAAACATGCATTTACTATATGTCTGTTGTTTGTGGTATAACTTCTATCCAGCTAGACTTTACTCTTATCAAAACTGACAAAAATGTCTGCAGTTAAAAGGTGCTGCCAAAAATCAAAGAAGTCAGATAACCGTCCTGTAAGTGTGGCTACCACAACAGTGCTTCAAGACAGAAAAATACGATTTTTTTGTACACAGGAAGATGGCAACCAGAAAAAAGGAAGGTGACAGTAGGTGGCAAACAGAAAAAAATTGAAGGGCAGCCATAACAGCACAAACCCACTCCTAACATTATGGGATCCATATTCCTCAATGGACTTAAAGAAAAAAATGTATGGTAAGTACAAAAATCTTATTTTCTTTATTGTCCATTGAGGCACACAGAAAAATATGAATTCTTAGATAACTGGAATTTCCAAAAGCAGTCCATCTGAGGGATAGGCAACTGTCCCTGAGAATTCCAACAGATGCGAAAATCTTACTAGAAGAATGTTTGAAGGAATCCATTCCTGAACAAGTCAAGATAAAGAGGGAGAAAATTTCTACTAACAAGGAAAGGCAACAAGAAAGACGTTGATGTTCCACAGCAGGGCAGGTGGCACCACTAAAGGGAAGACTGTTATTCTGAAAGAATGATGGACCTCAACAATATGGAGTATAACAAAGCAACCAATGTAAGGAAACCGAGTAAAGAAAACTTAGACCAACAGATCAACAAGAGTGTTTGCAAGGTAAAGGTTGAAACTTAGTAAAGGCTAGAGTAAAGTTTCTTCAATGGGGTGGAAGACCTACAAATTTTCAGAATTTCAAATGCAAAGCTCCAGAAACAAAACTTTGAGTCCTACATGGAAATATTGCGAACACTAAGAGATAGTCAGTGCTATGCAGTGTCAGTAGGCAAATATCAGTAATGACAATTTAAGTATTAATTTTCCCTGAAAACACATGAAGTGAAGAGGGAATCAGCATAAAATATGGAATCATATAAATATTGCCTTACGACTTAGGAAGCTGTCTGTTCAATAGAACCTGACCTAAAAGAGAAATACTAGATTGACCAAAATCTTGATTCTGCAACTCATGCTGTTAAGAAAATATATTGATGGAGTTGCCATCAATCTCACATTCACAAAAAGGGGGGATAGGAACTGATTAATCTGTTCAATATTCAGAAAACTGATGTTTGACAACCCTGTTAGTCTATAAGTCTCTCCTGAAAGAGACAGGACAAAAGAAACTATAGGTTGAAGCCTGATGATTCAAACTGAAAGGATGAAACTTTCCAGTGATCAAACAGAATGAGAAAACAATAACCCAGAGGTAAAAGTGGGGGTATACCTCTAAATAGAAAGTTTTTGACTACAAGATCTGCAGTTCACATGTTCACAGTTCACAAGACTTGATCACCTGGTGTCAAACTGGCAGCCCTCCAGCTGTTGCCAAACTCCCATGAGGGATTGCAAGATTGACAGTTACAATCATGACTCCGAAAGGCAGAGGCATGATGGGACTTGTATTTTCACAAAAGCTGGAGGGCCGCAAGTTTGACACCCCTGACCTAGATATTACAGCTGTATTATCCAAAAATTGGGGGTACTTCTCTGTTGAAATGGATGTACAGAGCAAGAATCAGGTTTGGACATGCCGCTGTCCAAACCCATGTACACAATACCAAAAAGATGCCTTATGTATTGGTTACACATATCCCAGGCATGTAGCTGAAGTGTCTTAACCATATGGACATCATTAAAGTCATGCAAAGCAGCAACTTAGATGCGTCTAAGACAGCAATGGGCAAACTACGGCCCGGCGGACCTTTTAATCCGGCCCGCGGAGCGTGGCAAACATCGGCTGTCAGAATGTGTGTAGGCGGGGCAGCGTGACGAACGTGAGGGGAGCAAGGCTCTTCTCACAGTCCGCCCTGAAGACCGGAACGGCGCAGGAACACGGCGAGAGGAACGCGCGGAGCAAAGGTAAGTGAATTGACAGAGGGGGGACTTGGGGACTTAATATGGGGGATGAATTAATATGGGGAATGAATTACTATAGGGGGGATGAATTACTATAGGGGGGATGAATTACTATATGGGGGATGAATTACTATATGGGGGATGAATTACTATGGGGGATGAATTACTATATGGGGGATGAATTACTATGGGGGATGAATTACTATATGGGGGATGAATTACTATATGGGGGATGAATTACTATGGGGGATGAATTACTATATGGGGGATGAATTACTATGGGGGATGAATTACTATATGGAGGATGAATTACTATGGGGGAATGAATTACTATATGGGGGATGAATTACTATGGGGGATGAATTACTATATGGGGGATGAATTACTATATGGGGGATGAATTACTATGGGGGATGAATTACTATATGGGGGATGAATTACTATATGGGGGATGAATTACTATGGGGGATGAATTACTATAGGGGGATGAATTACTATATGGGGGATGAATTACTATGGGGGATGAATTACTATATGGGGGGATGAATTACTATATGGGGGATGAATTACTATGGGGGATGAATTACTATATGGGGGATGAATTACTATGGGGGATGAATTACTATATGGGGGATGAATTACTATATAGGGGATGAATTACTATATGGGGGATGAATTACTATGGGGGGATAATTACTATGGGGATGAATTACTATATGGGGGATGAATTACTATGGGGGATGAATTACTATATGGAGGATTAATTACTATGGGGGATAAATTACTATATGGGGGATGAATTACTATGGGGGATGAATTACTATATGGGGATGAATTACTATATGGGGGATGAATTACTATGGGGGATGAATTACTATATGGGGGATGAATTACTATATGGGGATGATGAATTACTATATGGGGGATGAATTACTATATGGGGGATGAATTACTATGGGGGATGAATTACTATATGGAGGATGAATTACTATGGGGGATGAATTACTATATGGGGGATGAATTACTATATGGGGGATGAATTACTATATGGGGGATGATTACAATGGGGGATGAATTACTATATGGGGGGATGAATTACTATGGGGGATGAATTACTATGGGGGATGAATTA